TTATAAAGTCCCTTAAAAGCCTTAAATAAATAAATATTTTTTTCTATTTTATATCAAAATAGATCAAAACATGTAATTGTGAATAATAAGATTAAGGTATCGCTCTTTATGTTGTTATTAACTCATTTCCCAAACTCTTTCCAAAGACAGCTGGTTGCTGACATCTTCCTACCCCGCCTCAAGCTCTCCTCCTCCCTGAAGCCTCTAATTACTGCTTTGCTCCTTTTTCCCTTGTAGTGGAACAGAACCTACTCCAGGCTTTGGCCTCTTTAAAAATACATCTGCTCTGCACTAAAACACATGGAATAATAGAAGAGCAGCCGTCAGCAGAGGCACCCTTTACCTGGATGCCTTTCAAAGGCAGGAATCTTGGAAAGAACATGGAGCATTTTCTCTCCTCTAGACTCAAAGCTGGGCACAAAACTGTGACATGCTGGTAAGGGCTGAATGAGCGGGTTCACATGTCCCTCCTGTGGGGCAAGGCTGGTTACAGCGACACACAGGTTAGCCTGGAGTTATTGCTCTGGGCTCAGGCAATGCCTGTTGCTCTTGCTGGGGATGGGGGGGTGGGGGTGGTGGCCACCTTGCTGATTCCCCGCAGCCTTTAAAGCTCTGGATGAGGACTAGAGCTACAGAATCCATTGATGGAGCATGGGACCTGCTGATCACCCCCATGGAACCCAGCTATCAACAACTTTCCCTGCCTTGTTTCCGTTCCCAGTGGGGAAATCATCCCCTTGGCTGTGTGCTGACACAAGAGCTGTGCTGGCAGCATTTGCTGCCATCCTGCAGCTCAGGAACCATGGTCAGTCCTTCTCCCTGTGGAACAAAATGGGGTGAAAGGGATCTGGTGCAGCATTACAGCCATGCCCCATCCTAAATTATTCTAAAACACTGAGGGATTTCACACGTCTGCATTTGCCTGGACTTACCAGGCTCAAGTTCAGCAGAGGGTCTTGGCTTTTATAGCAGGATAAAAAAGAGCATGACATGGAGCTAATCAGCTTGGAAGGGAGCACTGTATGGCAAGAGATCCTTGCTGTGGGGTCACGCACCAGCTCCGAGGGCAGAGCTCCAGTAATTGATGTCTGAGAGTTTCAGCAGCCCAGAACTGGTGGGCAACTTTCCTCAGGAAGCCTTTGCAGCACCAGGGGTAGGACCCATCTCTGCTAAGTTGTCAGGATCCCATTTATAGATGTCTCCATCTGAGCTGGCCATTCAGCATCTTTATAGGCTTTGAGGCGAGTAAGATGCCTCTAGAGCACCATTCACCCTCCCCACTTCAGAAGTCAATGTTAGAGAGACTGTGCTGTCGATTCCCTGGTTCCTCTCCATTGACCATAACTGGAGCCTAGAGGTCTACATTCACCCGTGCACCCCTGCTTCGAAGACCCCAAATCCATCTCTGTCAGATTCCTGGTGAGTTAGCTCTGTGTGATGCTTTTCAGTCCTCAGGAAGCACCATCTCCCAGCTGGAGGGCTGGGGAAGGATGAAGGCCTTTAGGTACCTGGCTGGGCCCTGGCCCTCGAGGGGAGACCCACAGGAGGAGGCAGCCACAGCCACCCTCACTTTGCCACCAGCCTCCCCTGGCAGAGACACCCTGGGGAGGAGCAGCAGAAACCAACGCAGAAACGGAGCTGCAGGACAAAAGCAGGGACCTGTGCCTGGCCCATCCTGGCCTCTGGACCTTGGGCCAGGAAGAGCCAGCAGCTTTTCCCCAAGCTGTGCCCAGACAATGGAGGAGCAGGGGGTGGAATGCCAAAGGGGCTCTTCTGTGATTCTCATCCTCCTCTTTCTTGGACCACCACCCTTCCTCCCCATGCATCCTGGAGCCTCGCACACAACCTGAGCACAGTGGGTACTGCTGGAGCAGGAGCAGGACTAGGAGAAGGAGGAAGAGGAGCAGCAGGAGCAGGACTAGGAGCAGGAGGAAGAGGAGCAGCAGGACCAGGAGCAGGACCAGGAGGAGGAGCAGGACCAGGAGCAGGAGGACCAGGAGCAGGACCAGGACCAGGAGCAGCAGGAGGAGGAGCAGCGGGACCAGGAGCAGGAGCAGAAGGAGGAGGATCAAACCCTGAGCCGCCTCCTGCCTATTCCCCCGGGTGTGATGAGCTCTCCAGGCCTCAGCCCCGCTCTGCACCAGCTGCCCGCCCTTCCCAACCACCGGATCCTGTTTCTTGTCCCCATCGTGTGCTCCTGTCCCGGCCGGTCCCCCCAATCCCTTACCTGGTGGTCCCGGGAGCCTCGGGCAATCCCGGCCCCGCTCCAGCTCCGTGCATTCGCTTGAGCGCTTTGCATTTGTGCTTGGGAAATACCGACTCGCCTTTTTATGGTGGCGGGTGATAAATATTGCATCGCTCTCCGTTGCAAACTTTGAGGAGCGGGGGCAGAGTGGCCCCTGCGAGCCGCCGGACAGGCCCCCCCGGGCGGGGATGAGAGGTCTCGATCTGGGGGAGAACGGGAGGGTTCTGGTTTGAGGGGTCCCTGCGATGCGGGATCGTGTTTTGCCTGCGAGGGAGAGCTGGGGGTGGGGGGAACGGGGCCCCGGTAATGCTGGAGCCGATCCTCCGGGCCCCCCCGGGCAGCACTCAGCATCCACCGTCATTAAAATTTCATCGGCAGCACTTGGCCAAGGTCTATTTATGAAAATGTGCTTTTCATTCCATGGAAAAAAAACAACCCAGGAAAGGAGAGAAAGAACAAAGGCGGGATGGGGGTGGAGAAGCGCCCCGGAATTACGCGGAGGGGGCCGATCGGGATGAGGGATCCTCCTGCTGAGTCCCCCCGAGCCGGTTCGCACCCCGGCAGGAGCTGGGGCGCTGAGCTGGTTTCTCTCTGTTCGCTTGGGTTGTTCTTGGTTTGCGTTTCGTGGGGGGTTTCCTTGGGCTTGGTTTCGTTTGTTTTGCGTGTGTTTTTATGTTGTTTTATATTTGTTTGGGTTTTTTTTTATTGCTTTTTCTTGGGTTGGGAGTTATTTTGGTTTTATTTTGGTTTGGGGGGGGGGTGTTTGTTTGTTTTCCTTTTTTTTCTGTTTTCGGGTTATTTTTGTTTTATTTGTTTTGTTTTTTTGGGGGGTGTTTGTTTTGGGGTTTTTTGTTTGTTTGCTTGCTTGTTTGATTTTTTGTGTGTCTGCGGTTTTCGTTTCGTTTTGTTTTTTTCCCGCTGTAAAAGCCGCTTCGTCCAGCCCCAGGATCCTCCCGAACCTGAACCTTGAACCTTGAACCTGAACCTGAACCCAACCCGAACCCTCATCGCAGCCCCACTCCCCCGAGCCCCCGTTTCGGGTGGCTTTTCCAGCGAATAAGTTATTATAAAATAAAATTTAAAAAAAACAAAACAAACAACAACAAAAAAACAAACCAAACCAAACAAACAAAAAAAAAAACCAACAGAAAAACCCGAAACCAACCCAAAAAATACAAATCCAAACCAACCCAAACTAACACTCAAAAACCCCACAAACCAGACCCCGCTCTTTTCGCTCCCCCGGACGGGAACACCCCTGTCATTGGCCCAGGCTCATTTCGGGGTCCCAGACCAGTCTTGGGGGGTGGCGTTCTGCTCGGCGGGAAAGCCGGGACTGCTGCGGGGCATCAGCGGGGGGCAGAGCCCCGTCCCCGCTGGGGTCGCGGGCGAGCGGAGCCGCGGGAGCATCCTCCGGGCTTCGAGGCAGAGCTCACGCCGGGCTCGGCTCGGGGAGCCCCAGCTCCGCGGAGTCCCTTCCCCGCGGCTGCTCCCCCAGCCCGTCCCCGCAGTGGGTCCGCTAGAGGAAAGACCCGCTCCGGCCCGGGCCCACCGCTGCCTTCCCCATGGAGGAGAACGGCCAGAGCCGCGTCTCGACGGCGGCAGAAGGCGGCGGGGTTGGGCTGAAGGAGCCTTAGCGGGGCCGGGCTGAAGGAGCCTTAGCGGGGCCGGGCTGAAGGAGCCTCAGCGGGGCCGAGCCCAGCGGCCGCAGGAACTCCAGGAGGCAGGAGGGTGAGGTAAAACGTGCATGGTTTATTTTAAATGCTGCAGCGTACACAGACACCGAACTCCATTCAGCACACACGCGGCGCAACGAAATCTCGTTTACTTTTAAGTTTAAAAATAAAGCAAAACAAAAAGGAAACGGAGGCAAAAATGTCTCTATTAAATACGCAAAGGAAAACTCAAACGGAGTGCTCTTGCCTTAGAAAGTGCAGCGCTGACGCTTTGCAGAGCAGCCGCCCGCGGGGGTCTGGGCTGCAGGACCCCCCCCGCCCCGGGCCGCTCCTGGGCCCCCGGTGACTTGATTGTCGAAGCGTAGGATTGAACACAGGGAGATCAGAGGGACCTCGGACGGTTCACGTGAAACCAAAGCGAAAACAAAGCTCCATTCCCAACACACAGGCTCCAGGGACGTGCCAATTTATCTTTTTTTCCATTATTTTTAATTATTTTTTTTTATATTTTTTTTTCGTTTTAATTCAGCCGATGAGGTAGAAACAGAAATGTTACTGCAAAAACGCGATGGGTTTGGAACAGAACCATGCAAGTGTGTGTGTGTGGAGGCCCCGGCAGCGGGGAGCGCGGCGGACACCCTATTTACAGCCACCCGGTGCACTTCCAGCTCGTTTCCTTTCTCAGGTATTTCACGTGTTTTCCTTATTTTAGGCTATTTGAAAGGAAAGGAGCGGGCATCAGGCGAGGGGCTGCGGCAGAGCCCGCTGCGCTGTGGGTGCTGCTGCCCTGACCGCGGGCCCCCCAAAACCCCGCATGAGCCCTACGGTTTCTCTTTTCCTCCACCTTTTGTCCAGTTTTATCTACAAAAGCAGTCTGTACCAGTCCCAGCAGCGGGGCCGCTTCACCCGGGGGGGGAGGAGCAGGCACCAAACTCTTCGCTTGGGGGGGCGTCCCTTTTTTTAGGTTTATTTTTCCTTTCGGTTTTTTTTTCCTCCCCCCAGTTTTCTTTTTCAACCACCACCACCACCAGCCCCCAGCCCGGCCCATTCTGAAGGGGCCGGGGAGGGGGAGTGGGGCAGGCCCTCCCCACCACCACCACCACCACCCTCCCAGCCCCTTCTTCAGTAGGTAGCAGAAAATTTCATCCTTTTCTGCTTCTGTCTCTGATTGCAAAACCAGACCCGCACCACGTTCTTCTTCAAGTCTAACTTCTCGGCAATGGCAGCGATTTTCTCCGAGGAGGGCCGTGGCTGCACGGCGAAATAAGCCTCCAGCGAGCGCTTCTCGGGGGCAGCGATGGACGTGCGCTTGCGCTTCTTGTCCCCCGCCGTGTAGATCTCAGGTTTGGTCATTTTCTCCCTCTGCGCCCGCTCAGCCTCCTCCAGCCACGCTTCCAGGATGGGCTTGAGGGCCACCATGTTGTTGTGGGACAAGGTGAGAGACTCGAACCTGCAGATTGTGCTTTGGCTAAGGCAGCCCACCCCCGGGATCTTCAGGTTGGCCAGCGCGGAGCCCACATCTGCCTGGGTCACCCCCAGCTTGATCCTCCGCTGCTTGAACCGCTCAGCAAAGGACTCCAGCTCCCGGGGGTCCGTCTCCGTCTCAGGGCTGGAGATGACAGTGTGGGAAGCCAGGCCGTGGGGGTGGGACACGTTCATGGGCTGGGAGTGATGGGCCATGTGGTTGATGGCCGACATGTGGGAATGTGGGTGCGAAGGAGTGGAGCCCACGTCCAGGCCCGGCACCCCTCCAAGCGGGAGGGCAGTGTTGAGGTGGTCCAAGAGCTCTCCATCCAGGCCCTGGGAGGGCTGGTGGTGGTGGGGATGGTGGGTGGTCAGCACGGACGGGTGGTGCAGGTGGACGGAGGAAGAGGTAGGAGTGCAGGACACGCTGCTCATGGTGTGGTAAGTGGCATCTGGCTTGAAGGGGTGGGTTTTCTGCGACACGATATCCACGGCGGCCAGAGCCTCGGCGCCCCGCAGCAAGGTCTCGTCAAAGCCCGCAAAAATGTTACCCTGGATCTGCGGAGGGGGGATAAAAGTGGGAGCAAAAACTGAAAAAGCGGGAGAGGGTTAAAAGGAAGTTGCGGTGGTCCAGCTCTGCCCCTCCAGCAGTGCGTGGGACAGGGCCGATGAACCGAGTTCAACCCTTTCCCCCCGCCAAATTAAAGTGTCGGGAACAGGTGCCGGACTCCGGGCACCCCAGTGCTCTCCGGGGTCCTCCCCAGAACCGAAGAGCGGCCTCCGAGGGACCCAGAGTCACCGGACATCCCTCAGAGCCGCTGCTGCACCGACGGGGCGGACGGGGGAGAACGGCCGCCTTCTCCTCGCCGGCGCGGACCCACCGGTGCTTCCCCACTTTTCGGCCCCTCTCCCGGCTCCGGGAGCGCTCGGAGAGAGAAATTCCCCACCCCTCCCAAACCCCACATAGCACCCAAAAAACAGATGGAAACCGTTTGGAAGCTGGGGAGCGCACAGCTCGGACCCCCCCCGATCCCTCCCGTGGGGTGTTGTAGGGAGCCCCACCGAGGGGCAGCTTACCTGTGGGGCGGGCAGGCAGGCCCTGCGGATGGCCTCGGAGCTGGTGTGCAGGTGAGGGAACTTGGGCTCGTGCAGGATGGGGTGCATGCTGAACGCCTGCTTGCTGTTCATGGACATCATGGTGGGAGCGGAGCGGGGCAGAGGCGCTCCGGGCTGCCCGGCTCGGGGGCGCGGTATTGTCTGACTCCGCCGCCCGACATCAACAGCATTATAGCCCGGCCCCCCCGCCCCCCCGCTCGCCCATTGGACGGGCTCCGGGAGGTACCTCCCACCGCCCGCCCCCCGGCACCCAGCTCATCCCCCCCACCTCCCGTTGTACTCCCCAAACTGGGGTTCCCCCACCCCCGTCCCGGCTCCGCTCATCCCCGAGCGGGGGATGCTGTGCGCCGTTATCCCGCTCCCTCCGTTCGCAGGGATGAGGGTGGGGATGGGGAGGGGATGCTCCTGCCTCCCTCCTGCCCTCACCGACAGAACTGGGTGGGGGCGAGAGGCGCCGGGTCCCGCTTCTGCCCCAGGACGCGCCATCTAGCAGCCCTTCAGTTCGGTACGGAACGGCCCTGTACGGTATCGAGCTGCATCCTCCTGTTGCATCCTCCTGCTGCATCCTCCTGACCGGTCCCTGCCAGCGGCTTCGGGCTGCGTTTCCCTAGCGGGGATTTGGGGAGGAGAACAAACCCGAGCCTGGGGGTGAGCAGGAGCCACCAGATCCCCTCACCTCCCTCTGAAGGGAAGAATTCCCTGGGGTTAAAACCAAGAACAACGAAATAAGGAAAAGTTTCACCAAGTTTTCCTTGGTTTGCCCTGTTTCGATGCAGTTACCTGGCCCAGTTATCCCACCCCTCCTGCCGGTGCAGGGTCCCGCCGGATCCACGGCTGTGTGTCTGTCTGACCCTCTCCATCCTCCTCTCTCCAGCTCACCACTATGCCTGACAGTCTCCTGCCTCCTTCATCCACACGGGTTTCCTCATAGCAGCTGCCCATGCTGTTTCCCTGCTCTTCTCCTTGCTGCCACCGAGCCCAGATCCCATCGCTACAGAAAACCTGATGGCTGCCTGTTGGAGTGGGGGCTGTTCAGCCCCCTGGCTGCCTCCAGCCCTGCCAAAAGGTAGGTGAGAAGTGCGATGGGCAGCAGCGCTGCCAGCACAGGAAGGGGACCAATGGAGGGGACTCCCATCCACACCTGCTGGAGAAGGGGACGGTCGCCATGGGGCTGATGGAGGACAGAAGGGCGTTTGGTCGTGCTCAGGGCAAAGGTCTTCCCAGGGGAACAGACCGTGTTAATCCAGTCCCAAAAATCCAGCCCTAGAAACGCGTGTAAGGATGATCATACACAGGGCAGGTGGTTTGTCAGGGTTAGCATCAGTTTTCCTGGCCTTTATCCCCCTCACTCTCTTCTGCGCAGAGCCTGCACCCCACATCCTCTGAGATGCTGCTTCTCATGGGGATACTGCAGTATTCTGGGTCAGGCAGGGACACAAGGGAATGGAAGTCCTGATCTAACCACAGCCCCTACCTGAGAGGATAAAGCATCCCCAGAAAGATGGTTCTTTGGCTCTGGACATGCATGGGGAAATGTCAGATCCAGCCACGGGAGACAAAGCAACCACCACCGTGAGTGCTGCTGCCCAGATTCAGGCACAGCCACCAGTGATGCTTTTGCAGCAAGAAGGTCCCTCAACGAGACCCGTGCAGACATCAGTTGTGCAGAGGGATGGAGGAAAACCCTAGTTCTGGAGGAGTCTGCTCTGGGGAGAACTGTGTCAGCACTGTGGGGCTGCCAGGAAAGCCCCATCCCTCGGGGCCTCAGAGGTGGGAGAGGTCAGTGGGCACGGTCCAGGCAGACCTTTGGACTCATTAAAGCATCCCACACATGCCAGAGGCCCCCAGACCTGTCAACATGCTGATGCTCTGACTGCAGGCAGGAGCAGACAGGAGCTCTGAAGCCTCTTCCCCCTCAGCTCTCCATCACACAGCTCTGAGTCATGTCTCCTCTTTACTGCTTGCAGAGAGATTGCAGCATCAGGTGATGGGCAGAGGAGAGCAGCTGCCAGAAAGGTTCTCTGGAAGCTCTGTATGGAGGAGACTCACACAATCATTGCAGAAGGGAATTGTCCCTCCTGGGTGCTCTGCGGTGGGTGCAGGCACCTTCTCCACTTCAGCTGACAGCCCCTGGCTGTGTTAACTCTGACAGCCGGAAGCCTTTGTCAGGGCATTTCCCAATTCCTTTTGCTGGGCTCTCCTCGGTGACCCCTCATCTCAGCAGCTCAGAGAAGGGAGGCTGGAGAGAGCAGTTCAGTTCCCAGCCCTGGATTCACGTCTGCCCAAGGAAGCAAACCTTGCTCCAAGCTGCGTTTTCTCTGCAAGGAATCAGCTCCAGACTCTGCCCTGGGATGTGCCCGGGAGGTTCAGGACTCCGGGACCAGATGTGGGCACGTTCCACGTCTGCACATCACTCAGATTCGGCTGGAGCAGGAGGAAATCAGCTGAGTTTGTGAACAGCACAAGGCTTTGTTTTCCACACTTGCAACAGCTATGGGAGCAGGAGAAAAACTGTCCCAGGCCAGCCCAAAGACTCCCCTGACCTTGTGTCTTGGATGTTTAGGACAACCAGACAAGCAGCAAATGAAGTAAACGGCTTTCCTTCCCTTTTACTGCCCCATGCGTTAGAGGTTAGCAGACGTCTTCTCCCTACAGCCAAGCCTCTACCCTTTGAGTCTCCTTTCATCACAACCCCGAGCACCCTGCTCTGCATTGGCTTTATCTTGGCCATGAACTTCTTGAGCAAGAGATACTCGAGGTAGAATCCCCCACTGCACATGCTGGCACTGACACTGAAGCACACTGACAGTGTGTACGACCAGCAGGGACACAGACACCACAGTGACAGCAGAACCACCTCCCAGCTCTATCCCATGGACGAAGCTGTCCTACAGCTCCTGCACGGATTTGTGGCTGATTCAAGCAGGGAAGAGCATTTCTCCTCTGTGTCAGAGCTCCCAAAGCCTCTGGATTGATTCAGGAGTTACCAGATTCCTCCTGGGCAGGGAAAACCAGGTGTCTTATGGATGGACAAAGATGCACAAAGCGCCAAGCAAGGAGGAAGTGTCTACAGCAGCAATACTTTGTCAATACTTTCCCAGCTGGCTGTTCCTTCAGCCCTTCACATCTGGGAATGTTAGTACCCTTTGCAAGGAATGAGCTGGACTTCCAGAGACTGCCAATGCTCACCTGTGGGTTTCTTGAGTAATATGAGGCAGCTCTGCAACACTTGCTGTAGTATATACAGCACATACTGGAGTTAGTATATACGTCATGTATATACTGGCTTTCCTCCCTAATTGCTCCGTAAATCCCACCCCCCCACCCCCACATCCACCCCTATCAGTAACTCCTGTGCGATAATTTCACTAGAATCAGGATAAAAAAGGAGACTCAAGTTCTCCCCTATTCTGACCAAATAAAAATGCGGAATAAAGAACCTCATGACCTGAACCTTTTGAAAAGGAGCTGGCACCCCAGACTGCTCGGTGCTGAGATATTCCTATGCAGAAAGGAAGAGCCAGAAAGCTCTTCATTGTTGCTCCTTGTGATGGTCATGTTGTGGATATCTGCCATGGCAGGAAAAGTTAGCAAGAGAACAGGGATCCTGTGAATATTCTGTCACATGAAGCAAGTGCAAGATGCTCTCATTGCCACTGGAAAAAAATCTTGAAGATTTTAAGCTCTGCTTTCAAGAAACTCCATCTCTGTTGCTTTCTGAAGATGACCCATAATTTCTTGGTCTGGCTTCCTGCCTTTATCTAATAAAATCTTGCATCACTCCACCTAATTCTCGTGTTTTCAATCAAAGGATAACTCCGAGCTGAGTTTTCAGAGGGCTGTCCTGCCTGCCATGTGGTTTGGTGCCTCAGGCAGTTGCCTCCAGGCTCCAGCTGTTTTTATTACCTAAGTGGGTTTGATTGCTCCTTCATTTGTGCCTGAATGAGAGCCCTTGGCACCCTCATGGGCTTTAATGGGGTCTGTGTGTTCTAGCTACCAATTAAACCCACTGGCAGCAATTAACAGCTTCCAGCGTAACAACACCGGTGCAGAGGGGGGACACGGCTTTCCAGGTCTCTGGGAGAAGATCTGGTGGAAAAGGGACATGACTTTATGCAGGATGGAGCACACTGGCTGGGAATGGCTCTGTCCCCAGGTCACTACTGCCACTTTCTACATCAGTTCCAGGCTCTCAGGCACGTTTCCCAGCAGTGGGCTGGTGAAGGTGACAGTGCTGGTGGGTGTCACCCCAAAGTGTGGGTACACGCAGGAGGGGACAGGTACCCACCTGTATGCACTGGCTGTCAGGACTGCTCCTGGAAAACGTTGGTGTAGCGATCAGGAAGATAGTGCACGGAAGGTGTCCCCCAACCCAGGCAGTGGGACGAGGGGGCCAATTTAAGGTGCTGAGGCACTGGCACAGGGTGCCCAGAGAAGCTGTGGCTGCCCCATCCCTGGCAGTGTTCAAGGCCAGGTTGGACACAGGGGCTTGGAGCAACCTGCTCTAGTGGAAGCTGTCCCTGCCCATGGCAGGGGGGCTGGAATTGGAGGAGCTTTAAGATCCATTCCAATCGCAGACCATTCCATGATTCTGTGATTCTATGACCCTTCTGCTGCACTCCTCTCCTTATGGTCCTTCCCAGCACCTGAGCAAGTAGAAGAAAACGAATTTGCACTGGATATTTTAGGCTTATACATCGTTCATCTCCAGTCATCATCATCATCATCAACAGCCAATGGTTCTCTCTGCCAGCAGCCGTTCCAGTCCCTGCCGGTGGCTCTGCCTGGCCTCTGACACATCCTCGCTCTTGCAGGCCTATGGCTCCTGCAAGCACATCCCTCAGCCCTGCTCAGCAGACCTGACGCTACCTCCACCATCTGTGGAAACCCTGGGGAGGATCCATCCATCAAAATTAAGATGGTGGGGGATTAAATGCTTCAATCTCACTGGAATTGACATTTTATGAGGAAAATTGGTTTTGTCAGAAGATGTGTGAGCGGCTCTACCTGCCAGAGGTCTGCACCATCAGGGTGATGGTTTAAGCTGCCTGCTTGAGTGCAGGAAAGGAAAATCAAGCCCCAGAGCGCTTTCAAACTATAAAACCTGTCTCACATCTGAGAGAGGGCCATGGCATCGAGGAGA